TTTTAAGTACTTTTTTTTGTTTTGTTTCATTTACTAGTTCATATAAACAAAGCTTGCTTGCAGGACCAGTAGACCCAAGCTCACACTTCGCATTCTGGTTTTCCTCTTCTTAAGTGCAATAGTCGGGTTTGTAAAATTAACACGACTTAATGTTGAATTTCCATCTGCTCATGTTAGTTGCATTATTTTCGTGCTTACAGAGCTGAACACATAACCTAAGTAATGCTTTTATACAGGACATCCATCACACAATACTTCTTTCTCCTTGGAATTCAATACACATCTGCTACTTTTGCCTGTGCCTTCATCAACATGGTGCCTATGATCACATTCATAATGGCATTACCGTTCGGGTACGAATTCAATCATTAAGTACCACAACTACATGTTTCATGAATCTTATAGGCTTCTGTGTGAAATGTTGTTCCCTTTTTTACAGGTTAGAAACAGTGAACTTAAAATGCAACAGTGGAAGAGCCAAAGTAATTGGTACCCTGGTGTGCATTGGTGGTGCTTTTATACTGACTCTTTACAAAGGAGCTCCTTTATTTGATCATTCAAAAGCCACAACCACTCAAGCCATGGATCATGGGACCAAGCTGAGCCACATCAGAAACAAAGAGAGATGGACCATTGGTTCAATAGCTTTGGTTGTAGGAACCCTTTTATGGTCTTCATGGTTTCTTGTACAATCAAACATAAGCAAGATGTATCCCTGCCAATATTCTAGCACTACCATAATGACTTTCTTTGGTGCCATTCAGTCTGCCATTTTGGGTTTGTGCACTGGAAGGAACCTTTCCATGTGGGTTCTGAGGGGAAGGACACAAGTCATCACTGTCCTGTTTTCTGTAAGTATTCCTTTCTTCTAAAACAAAAAAAATAAGAAAAAAAGAGAGCCAATCAATTTTATGCTCCGAGTGACTTCTGAGTTCATTAGAGAACTATTGATGTGTTCAGGGAATGATAGCATCTGGCTTAGGCTTTGTGGGGATGTCATGGTGTGTCAAGAAAAGGGGTCCTGTGTTTACCGCAGCATTTAGCCCCCTTGTTCAGATACTGGCGGCGCTAATCGGTATCCCCATTTTCCATGATCAACTCCACCTTGGAAGGTGAATTTTCCCATATGTTCTGCACTTGAAAATACCTATTTATACTTGCTACCTGTAGTGCTAACTTTCCTCATTGGTGCTCCATTTGACATTGAGCAGTTTGTTGGGATCTGTGATTGTAATCATTGGCTTGTACATTCTTCTTTGGGGTAAGAAAAAAGAGATGCAGAAGTGTGTGACAAAACTAGTCCAAGAAACTGATGCCATCAAGGAGCAGGAGCCACATTTACCAGCCATCACGGTCTCCATTGATTCGCGGTGTCCTTGAAGCCAAGTTTCATATGCTTTCCAATTCACAGGCATTCATTTTTTTTCCTCCCACTTGATTGTTATGATCTTCTACCTAGGAAGCTAAAGAAGAATCAGCTGGCATAACCAGAATAAAAGAAGATTAACTTCTCCCCCTCTTTTATTCTGATGTTTGCAAAAATGTCCCCAAGGTTCTTTGTTAAAGCTATGGTAATGAAATCTGTTACACGAATTTGAAATACATACTGGTTTTGTAGTTGAAATCTCTACCATTTTCTAGATGTTTGTCATTCTTCGTGGAGCCTTGGGAGTTTAAGAGTTTATAATCTCGTGGAAGGTTAGCAAATTAGTAGATGATGAAGGCAAGAATTCACAATAAGGCATGTGTTTCAGAAATCTGTAGCTGTTTAGTGAATATCACAAAAATGAGACATTTCAGTCATGATAGTATTTTCGCTCACGGCCTTTAATTGGCGGTGAACATTATCATCATGTTAATTGCCATCTGACCACACAAACTTCAAAGATTAAATCCATCCAACGACAATTAACATGGGGTTGGTGAGCAAAAATCCTCTCTTTCAGTCGAAGATGAAATGAATTCGCCTAATGGCATTGGACCTCTGCTTCTGCTTTTACCATGGCACTGAATGATCAAACCACTAGAGCACAATTAGTCCTTTGCTCTATTAACAAAATTCAATCCCTGCAATATCAGATGATAGAGTGCACAAAGAAACCCTCCATCTCAGCACTGATAATTTGCCAGAGAAACAGAGCAATCAGACAGAAACTAGTGTTATGTAAACCCTAATACATACACACAATATCCAATAAATAAATACCATGAATGACATGCTACATAATTTTTGCAATCTTTAGCCAAAACAGAAAGTCCAGACCAGACAATACATTATATGTAGAACGCAATAACATTTGTTTTGTCTCTTCAATTACTTGCTACATAACATAAAACCATAAAGCCTTACAAAGGCTTGTTATTAAACTTGGTAATTAAGCCACTCCATGGGAAATCAAGTCATATATATAAATAAGCTCCTCACTCATCATCATGCTCATGATGTTGGTCACTGTGGAAGTTTTCCCTCTCCTTCTCCTTCTTCTTCCCCTTCCATCCACGCTTCTCCGGCTTGATATGATACCCATGAGGCTCCACAACATCAGTGATATCCACCCGAACACCGGGATCATTCGTGCTGTAGCTGCCACCCATCATAAGAGAGTTGTTCACGCTCTGGAAATTGCTGTTCACATAAGTGCTCAACCCATCAGGCTGCTCTCCAAATGCCGGGCCACCACCATGAAGCCCTGCAGGCTTGTTGTTGTTCTCATGATCCAGCTCACTTGTCAGTGTGGCTCCATTGTTGTTCCCAGCCAGTGTGATGATTCTCACGCCGTTTTCATCGTCGTCTTCGTGTTGAACTGAGCCAGATTTGTGGAGGTCAGTGACTCGGTTGGTGATGACAGAGACCATGTCTCTGATTTCTCTGTCGAGTTGTTTGTGCTTGCCTGCATCATGGCTGTTGTTTTTGACTGACTCGTTGGTCATTGTTTTTGAGAGAGGCCACAAAGGGGGGAAGTTTAGGATGAGTTTGTGAGTTGGGTTTGTGTTTGAGATTTGAGGAAAACATAGATAGATATATAAAGAGTTGATCCAGAGGATGTAGAAATTGGAATAAAGGAATGCCTTACTTGGCAATACAAGGATATTAATCATTTCAGATGGAAAACACAAAAGAAAGAAGGATAACAAAAGGGAGGGGATTGCTTGACATTTGGTTCACATACTCTTTGAACTTTATGCTTTTGTGACTCTTACTCACACTCTAGTTTTTGGGAGGTTTAGAAGATTGAAACAAACCCATAAAGAACAAAAATACCAATGATGATTGAATGATTTTGTTTTTGATAAATTGTATGAGATTAAAACTCAAAACCTCTTCCAACAAAATAAAAACGAGATGCCACTTAATTGAATAATTCTTGAAAAACAACCGCACAATTTTGATTTCAAAGTGCCCATTTGTGACGGAGGTAACGTTGCCCCATCTCCATTGATGGAGCCACATGTAGGCATGGGATGGCCTAGCATTCTATACAATTTTGAAACAAATATTTTATATAACTACACTCACCACCTCAAATTAAGATATTTGGACTTCTCGGCCCATCTGAGTCCCTAAATGGTGTCGATGTCTTCACAGGGAACATCAGTGATGGTCGAGATTTTTTATGTTTTTTATTTTCTCAATGAATCCAAATAATAATTAAAAAAAAGGTTGTAAAAGATTGGAATTTTACAGTTTTTGTTAATTCCGGGTGTACCAATCAGTTTTATGGGTGTCTGCAGTATCCCCTTCATAAACGTATGTCTGGGGTCTTTCCAAGCCCCGAACATGCGTCGGGCCTATATTGTCCCAAAATTGGCGCCACGGTTAACTAACCCTTTGTCAACCTGTAGATCAAGCAGGCCCAAACGACCCTGAAATTATTCTGTGTAAAAATGATTAATTAGGGCAAAATTAATTTGCAATTCTTTAACTAATTTATGAACCATTTTGATCCCATATGCATAGATTGCTGATGAATTAGAACGAGTGAATGAGAAATTGAGAATGGAGAAGAACAAGTACAGCATCATAGTCCCAACCTATAACGAACGCCTCAACATTGCCCTCCTTGTCTACCTCATCTTCAAGCATCTCCGGTAAAATCTCCATCACTCGTTTCTCTGCAATTGAATTCATGAAAATGAAATTCCAGAAAAACCCATCACAAATATATCGTTTTCTGGGTGCAGGGACGTTGACTTTGAGATAATCATCGTTGACGATGGAAGCCCTGATGGTACTCAGCAGGTTGTTGAGCAATTGCAGCAACTCTATGGTGAAGATCGGATTGTGAGTAAATCGTGTTCTGCATTAAAAAAAATTATGTTTCTCAAGGCTGGTTTTGATTGTTTTTGGGTCTCATTAGTTTATTTGTGTATTTTATTGTGGTGCAGCTGTTGAGAGCTAGAGCTAAGAAGCTTGGATTAGGCATGTGATTATGTTTTGTTTTTTATTTTTCTGTTTTCAGTTGAATCAAATAGAATTGCTAAAATTCAAATATGGTTTAATTTGTTCTATTGTTTTGCAAAATTTCAGGAACGGCTTACATTCATGGTTTGAAACATGCGTCTGGGAATTTTGTTGTGATCATGGACGCGGATTTATCACACCATGTAAGTATTAGTATGTCTTTAGGATGTTCATGACTATTGTTCAGCATTTTCATTGGAAGGGATAATTTCCCACTGGCCAAGAGTTTTAGATGACACGATGAAGGGAAAGGGTGGGTGGTTTGTTAATTTTGGATTGCAAAAGCAACGTGGAAACTTTTCTCTATTAAAAGTTGTTTCCTTTCTGTATTAGTATAGAGTGTACTCCCTCATTCGCTTAAAGCTATTGATTGCGTCTTGTACATATTGATTTCCAGAAATATTTAGGGGAAATTATTATTTGAGTAGTTTCTTTTGAACCATCAATACCTTGTTCATGTCACTTTTTCAAAGAAGACAATTACAAATTGAATTAGCTCTTTCCTTCATTGATAAGGGAGTCCTCCTCTGGCCACCAAAATTGAGTGTGTTTTTTTGTTTCTTTGTTTTTCCTTTTCTTTGAATGTTCATATATTCAGTGCATTTCCAATTTCTTATAGTCTTCACAGTTTTATTCATTTGATCTGTTTACTTCTCATGATGCAGCCAAAGTATTTGCCAAGCTTCATCAAGTAAGAACAAGTTTTTTATTCATGTCCTTACCCACTATACCATAGTATACTTAAGGAAAAACTTAGTTGTCCCCTCGAACTATTGCTTGTGTTTCACATTGTCCCCTAGATTTTCAATTTGGCTTTGAGGACCCCCTTAATTTCCAAAACGTTCTAATAAGGCAAAGTGGGACACACAGGTCATAGTTGAGGGGGCACTGCTAAATTTTTCACTATTTTTTTCTCGAAATCATTCTGAGTTACTTGTGGCATGCTTATTATCAGGAAACAATCGGAAACTGGTGCAAGTATAGTTACTGGAACTCGTTATGTCAAAGGTGGGGGTGTACATGGGTGGAATCTTATGCGCAAATTAACAAGTAGAGGAGCCAATGTTCTGGCACAAACACTTCTATGGCCTGGTGTATCAGATTTGACCGGATCTTTTCGGTACATGATTAAATTGATGTATTAAGCTAGATAGTATATCACACTTCACACGATTATAGGACTAACATTGGTGTGCTTCTTTTGTAGGCTTTACAGGAAATCAGTGCTTGAAGATATCATTAGTTCCTGTGTCAGCAAGGGTTACGTCTTTCAGATGGAGATGATAGTTCGAGCTTCTAGAAAAGGCTACCATATCGAAGAGGTAGGTACAATTATATCATAGATGTTTGCCTGAAGCTTCTGGTTGAAATTGATAGTCCATGATCATGAAGCTAGTTTTGTATCTGTGGCTGTTGCTTGTTGACATCATTGAAAGTTTCAGTTTTCTTGTAAGTACTGCCCACGTCTTCTTTTTGTTTCTCTCTTGATCGTCACATCCGCTATTCCATTGTTCCTATATTTTAATAACAAACAGCACGGTTCTTGTGTCTGTCTTCATGCCTCCTGCCATGAACGGTTTTTCTTTGTTATTTGTCTGATTTTCAGATTCTGCGGAAATTAGGATGTTGATTTTAAATTATAGTGAAGTCTTGTGCTTATCAGCTTTGCATTTGTTTAGATTGTGATTTCTGTCAGATCCCGACAGAAATTAAGAACCATAACATAGGTACAATAAGAGGTTCTCGTGCTCATTAGAAATGGATCGATATGTATTCAATTGTGGTAACAATGATTTCTGTGGTTGTATTTGATATATAAATGTTTGAATCACACAGCCTGGAACCAATGAGAGATGCCCATGGCTTGTTTTCACTAATAGTTTACCGTGCTATTCACTTTTATTTTGGTTCAACTGGAAATTGTGAAAGTTTGGTCGCACTCAATGTACAAATCCTTGAATATGTTGACGAAATGCAAGCTAAGGTTATTATCATTCTTTTCATTATTAATTTTAGATAATGTAACCATTGGTATGAAGTATTAGAGTCGAGGAATATTATTAATCTATTAAAATTGTGGCTCGAATCCTGCTGACCTTTTTGCTTATGTGAGTGCTCATATAAGCCCTTGGATATATACCAAGAAGATTTGGGTTTGGTTTTTTACTTAATTTTGTCCATTCCCTTCATTTTGCTTTTAAATAACCGCATTATTGACTATCTACCTTTTGTACCTGTTTTTGGTTATATACCTATCCACAGGTTCCAATCAGCTTTGTTGATAGGGTATATGGAATTTCAAAGCTTGGAGGATCTGAAATTGTTGAATATCTGAAAGGCCTCGCCTATCTTCTCGTTACAACATGAGATCCGTAAATTACTACACAAATAATTTGTAAACCTCTTAAAGTTACTTTTTGATTTGTAAGTTCTTAGTGATTTAGAAGAGATTTTACCGGGGCCACTATCTAAACAAATTTTATATTTTCTCTTTTGTTTATGAGTAGTTTCTTGTATCCTTACATATACTGCAACTCTCTCACGATGTGGCGCGAGAGAGTTACCACATAGGGCAGCCTCACTCAAGAATTTCGCCAAAAGTATACATCACATTTCCACATTTAGCTATACATCACATTTCCACATTTAGCTATCTCCCGCTTTGTAATATTTTCAGCTTCCGTTATTCTTGCAGCCATCTCTTCCACTTCACAAAACTCTTCATGAACTGCCGGAAAAAAATGCCGGAACTCAGCATGGTGGGAATACTCTAATCACGTGCAGTGCTACACGCTGTCACCTGATAGAATTTGCTAACCATAATACATGGTGATAGCATAAGGGAGTTAAGAGTAGAGATCGTGGTTAAAGCATAGACTTGACTGGCAACAGAGTGAGCAGTCGACACAAGCAATCTTTGCATTTGGGTTGGTTGGGAAATATGTCTGGCATGACTCAGTCTCTCCAATCTCATTTGACCATGCTTTCTTCATGTTCACCTTCCGATATTGTTGACGCAGTTAAAGTCTCGCCAATGGTGTGATTTGATGAGACAAAAAATGTAAAAGTTTCATGATAGAGATACTTATTAGGACGTGTTTATGAGGCTCTTCACAAATAAACCCCCTATTTGTTAATGGGTATTAGTCTTGGTAGCCACTGGGATGATGAAATTAAGTTTAAAAAGAAAGAACAGACCAAGACAGTGTATTTTCTGAAGGTTGGTGAATGGTTTATCTGAAAAATCTTATTTCGGAAAATACAATTTCTTGGTCTGTCTTTCTTTTTAAACATAATTTCACCATCAGTGGCAACCAAGACTAATACCAATTAACAAATACTAGATAATCCAATAACCAAATTTCACCATCAGTGGCAACCATTCGGACTCTTTTGGGACTCCATTTGCTAAATAGACAGACAAAAAAAACAAAATTTTCCCTATTCTTAATTTCTTGAAATCATTCTTAGTTACTTATGGCATGCTTATTATCAGGAAACTGGTGCAAGTATAGTTACTGGAACTCGTTATGTCAAAGGTGGGGGTGTTACATGGGTGGAATCTTATGCGCAAACTAACAAAACAAAGATGATTTCCTTAAACTACACATTCTGCTGGAAGCTAGCAGAGAGAGGAGCACCGAACTACTAAAACCCCAAAATATTTATGTTCTCTACTGTTTCTTCTTCTTCTTCTTCTTCCTCTTCTCGTTATGCCAAAGCAAGAGAGCTTGTGGGTTTTATGACTGAAGTTCGAACAAGAGGTAAACCACCCTAATTACCCCTTTTTTTTGTTTATTTATAATAATTTCCTCTCAATTTTCGAAATTGATGTGAATTGTCAGCGTAACTGGAAATTTGATTCAATTGGGGGCTCTCTATGGTTCTGAGCAAAGGTGACGAGCACAGAAGTAGCGAGAGATCGATGAGGAGTGAGAAAGAGAATGAAAATGGCGAGATACCCGACTTGGAGAAGCAGCAGAGTGATAGCGGAGCTGAGCCCAGCTCACTTTCCAATTCTGCAGTCGGTGATACGGTGCCGCCGCTTCTAAACGTCGTCGTTTTGGATGAGGCGTCTCGCGAGGTTCATGTGCAAACCACCGCCAATTTGTCAAGGGAGGTACCTTCTCCCAAAAAGGGTGACCTGTCGAGAACTTCCAGCTCTCATGAACAATGCAGGTTGAGCATCAAAATCATAAAAAATAACTAGATTTTTTTTTGTTTTCAATTGCAATTTATTTCAATCTGGTTTTGAAATAGAGTTCTTTATTTTGGGTATGTTGTGCTTGTTCCTCAGAGTATGTCAGCAGGAGAAAGATGAAGTTTTGATAGACCTTGGATGTCAATGTCGAGGTGGGCTTGCAAAATCCCACCGATCATGTATAGACACTTGGTTTCGAACCAGAGGATCGAACAAATGCGAGATATGCCAGTAAATTCACTCACTAACTCCATTCATGGTTTGTAAATTAGTTCATTTCTAAAGTCGGACTTTACGAAAGGATATAATCTTTTTATGCAGAGGGGTAGCTGCAAATGTGCCACCTCCACAATCCCAGCCAACTGTATGTACTCTGTACCTTTTGGTGCAAAGGGTAGCCTTTGCCATGTTCATCAACCCATAACTTAATATGTATGTATGTATGCATCGAATTAGCGTAACCCATAAATTTACAAAAGTCGTAATTTTATATTTAAAGAATTGTATTCTATACAACTTCTTGTAATATAGTGTATTCGTTTATCTAGTTTGAAGTTTGAAGCTGGAAAGTTTCAAAGTCTTTCAATATCCAAAAATCTTACTCGTTACATTATCCATTTTTTCTAATTTAGCCATTTAGTTTATCCTATCCTTATCTCTTAAAACGTTGGTTTTTGGAGTGGTGCTCCAAACCCAATTGCCTCAGCCATGGAACTGGGGTTCTATTTTTGGATACAAGAGATAATTGAGTATTATGATTACCAGTATGACTGAAAACAGGATGTAGTATGATTACATCTGATCTGAGCATAGATTTATGGTAGTGCCATTGCCCATTTTTTGTGTGGTAACATGGAAGCATATCATAAACATGTCAAAGTATAACTCTCAGTGTGTTTTGCATAGCAGGGGAGCTACTGGGTCTGGAGAGTTGACTCAACCTATCGGTCACAAAATCGAGACAGGGTAAGGCGGTCACTAATCAATCTACTAGAATTGTATTAAGCTTTATGAAGATAGTTGCTGATTCTACTATTTCATATGCACCGGTCAGCAGGGTTGTGTTAGCCCACTTTATGTGGCATTTTCAATCCTCATTGGTGGTCTGCTGTTGGACGTGCTAATATCCGTTACCCTCGGTGTCTCTGCACTCCCCATTAACATCATTATAGGTATGTTTGTGCCTAATGAAACTAGTATGCTTGGTGGTGTTGGTTGTTGAACTGTGACCTGTAAGAGAAATTGTTACATGTACAGGTATTATTGTGGTTCTTGGACTTGGAACTGCACTGAGACTTATCTTGGAATTCTTCCACCAGTGGAGTTTGAGGAGAGTTGTGCAGAGGGTGGACACAAATGTGCCTCTTGGTTACCATCCTGCTTTGTAGGTAAAGCTGTAAATAAACAAGATATGTGGAAGTGGAACTTAAACTTTATGGCGTGAGGTGTATAATTTTTACTTTGTTGTTTGTTTTGTTTAGGTCACCATTGCTGATTACCTCTTTCCAATGTACCATTTTCAATTTTATTAGTTGATTTGAAAAGTTGTTATTTCAACTGCACGTCCATATTATCTCATTAGAATTATGCTGCTCATAGTTGATTATGAGTCGTTGATGCATTGTAGGATCTAAATTGTGTGAATGACACAATACATCAACGGTTGGTTGATGATAACTTAAGCCCAATAATTAGAACTTAGGCTACCATGGAGTGAAAGGAAGAAGGAGCAGCCGACCAAGGGCATGAGAAGTCGTGGGATGTCATTGGGGTTTGAACAAGACTTTGCTTTATGTTACAAACCCTACTGACATAAACGATATATATTCATGTGCCCAAGCGCCGAGAATATAACTTTAAACTTTTATTAAAGGTGGCAAGTGGTGACATTTTATTTGGGACTACGATCCTTTTATCAGACTTTTCCCTAATATGCCCCCAAGCATTGGAAGTTGTGATTTGTGATAGTTTTTGGACTTTAGACTAAAATAAAATAATTAGCACCCAAAGAATGTGAAGACGTATATACTTAAGTACCATTTTACTAAGCTTGGTGACTAACCATAGCAATTCCTTATTATATGGTATATCTCTTCATAAGATTATTCTCCCGCTATAGCCAGAGGGCAAAAGGGTTCGCACTCACAAAAATAAAACGTGAAATGAACATGATTGCATCTTGTCAATAGAATCTTACGATCACCAAGACAAAAGGGGGAAGGGTGGCGTGTGATGTTTCACTTGCCATGCTTGATTGTTTTGCTTGCTTGTTTGGTCTGGTGAATCGTGACAGATACCTTATTTTTAAGGATTGAAATGTTTTGTCAATTTTTTTTTTGCCCAATAAAAAGTTAATATTTGATCAAATTGTCATGTTTATTGCATTGTATGCATACGCATGTTCGTATTAGGGCAGTGTGAATGCGATCAGCGACAAACAATAATTTCAGCTGCGAATTTGATGGAGGAATCAAATAGAAAAGAAACGACATGAAAAAGAAAAGAAAAGAGGTAAAGGAGACAGTACGGACTGGGATTGCATCGCACGACAGGCTGAGGACGGGCGACACGTGGTGTCTTGTAGCTTTTCCACTTACGCGGCATAGTTAAACGGCTCAAAACGCAGCGCTACGTTGCTCAGCTAAGAAGGATCCTCTGCTACGTAGCCACGTATGATCATATAAATCCAGCCAATGACAAGCTGGTCTGGCGTTTGGTCAACTCAGTCAACCAGTAGTGCCAAGTTTGGTAAAAGCGAGTTCGCGAGTGACTTGTTATGAGAGAGCATGAGGAAGCAGCGCACGTTGTTTCCATTTTCCCTAAACATAAAAGTGAAGAAGAAAAAGAAAGGAGAGAAGAAGAAGAAGCAAGAACCAGTTACTCTTTACTCAAAAGCACAAATCGTTTAGTTTTAATTATTTATTTTCTGTGAATTAGGGTTTTCAAAGTAGTTCTGAGAATTGGGAAAGTGAGGGACGGAGAAGATCACTGATCAGACATGGCGGTTTTATCAATGGATTCGTTACCTCTAGGGTTTCGGTTCAGACCGACGGACGAAGAGCTCATCAACCACTACCTGAAGCTCAAGATCAACGGTCGTAATTCCGAGGTCCAAGTGATCCCCGAAATCGACGTTTGCAAATGGGAGCCTTGGGATTTACCCAGTAATTATCTCTCTCTGTCACTCTCTCTAGTTTTTGTTTGGCTTTTGGGCTAAAATTTATAGTCTTTGCTTGCTTCTTTGTTTATTTGGAGTTTCGGAATTTCTGAATGAGAATATGTGACTGGCTGGACTGAGAATTTTCCTTTATTCTCTACATCACCATGAATAATTCGTCACTATATTATCTAGATTCCTTGGGTAACCCTACTCTAATCATGATAATTATAAATAATAATCCTTTTTTTAATTAACCAATTTGAATATAGTAGTAATTATGAAGCCTGAAGCCTTTAGCTTGTAGGTAGATGCACGGAATGTAATTAGTGTATATGTTGATGTGCCTGCGCAGAGATGTCGGTGATAAAGTCAGATGATCAAGAGTGGTTCTTCTTCTGCCCCCGGGATAGGAAATACCCAAATGGCCATAGGTCCAACAGAGCCACTGATGCTGGCTACTGGAAGGCCACTGGTAAGGACAGGACCATCAAGTCCCGCCAGTGTAAGTCTGCCTCCAACAGCACTGGCCAAGTTGGGATGAAGAAGACCCTGGTTTTCTACAGAGGTCGCGCTCCCAGGGGCGAGCGCACCAGCTGGATCATGCATGAGTATCGTGCCACTCAGAAGGACCTTGATGGCACTGCTCCTGGGCAGGTATTCCCTTGGTCCCTTTCTCCCACTAAAGTGCAGAATGCCTGCCTTCTTTGCCTTCTGTTTGTATACATATACTTAATGGCATGGAAATTGTGTGCATTATGAAATTGGTATGTCCTGGAATTGATATGAGTTCATACTTGTTCTGACAAATGTGTTTATGTCTCTGTGATGCAGGGTGCCTTTGTTCTGTGTCGCTTGTTCCATAAGCCAGAAGAGAAGGCTGATGTACTAAAGTATGATGAAGTAGAACAAACTGGCTTATCTCCTACCACAACTAAGTCTTCTCCTGACGAGACATCCTCAGATGTAGTTCAGGAAACAGCTACATCTGATATGCAAGGTGAAAAGCAATCAGAAAGTATCATGAGGTGGTGGAATGATAAATCTGATAACATGAGCCCTGATGCTCTGCCTCCGGTACCTGGTGACAGTTTTATGGCCTCTGATGTGGAAGATCCTGGAGCAGAAGAAACAGGCATCCAAGTAAGATGCCAATTCTTTGTTGTATTTTTGGTCATGTCTGTAATCCTTTTCCTATAACTTTACACAATTTTATAGATATGAATAATTCAGTGACCAAATATTGTGGTTTTGTGCTTCTCAACTGTAGGGGCGTCTCCTAATGGAAGAAAATCAACTGTTCGATGAGCCCTTCAGCGGCCAGATTGATTGCAAAGTCTTTTCGCCTTTGCAATCGCTGATTAACTCAGACCTAGAACATTACGTGGGTTCACCTTTTACCAGTGACTTTGGCAATTACAATAATGGACTCCATTTTCAGGATGGCACATGTGAACAGGATGTATCCTTCCCAGAACTTTTGGATGAGTTCGGCGTTAACCCTTATGAGAGTTCCTGTGAGGAGTCAACGAGTCAGAAGAACTTGGTGGTTGGAAACGAGACCTATCTATCTGGTCAGTCATGCATGCTACAGACCACGCCACCAGGAAACTCATGTCTCGATGGTGCATGGGATAACACAGACACCAACATTGCCCAGGTATGGGTAAAAGAATAATCTTCTTCTTTCTTGTAAACCACCACAATTGTGGTATTCTTGGTTGTTGTCCTGTCGAGCCTGCTTATTGAATGTTATTTATCATATAAATTTGTTTGGTTAGTATATTTAAAGATGAAGTCTGACTGTAAGCTGTTGTTTTGTTTTTGTGCACCAGCATGACCTGGAAAGGAGAGCTTCTGGCTTGTACAACAGGCAATTTGATGCTGAGGATCTGCTGCCGAAAACTTCATTGGGTTATTACCAAGCTGAAGCTCAAGCATCGCTGGATAACCAAAAAACTAGAATGGGAAATATGGCTGACAATTATTTTCCTCCTTCCGCACTTGCGGAGCTGTTTCCTGTGAGTTCAGTAAATGATACGTTCAACAATGGGGAAGAATTTTCCAGTAGCAAGGATTCTGTTAACCATGGTTATGATCAGGTTGGTAGAACTAGAATCAGGATTAAGACTCGCCAGCCTCAACAACAATCAAATTCAGAAAATTATGAAACTCAGGGCACTGCTCCTAGAAGAATCCGTCTCCATATGAATATTTCAACTGGGTCAGTTGTCGATAGTAATGTGAGAGAGAGAGATGATGAGGAAGAAGATGAAGTACAATCAACTAATACTGACGTAAGGGTCCTTGTGAAACCAGTTTAATAACTTTTTTATATGCATTATAAAATTTAACTCTGATTGTTCCATGCAGGCTAGAGAAGCTATACAGCAGAGTCATACCTCTGATGAACAGGAGAAAGAGCATGCGAAAATCAATAATAAGGAAGAATTAACCAGTAGGAAGAACTCTGTCAACTATGGTTCGGATATTGTTGGTATAACTGGAATCAGGATCAAGGCCCGCCAGCCTCAACAACCATTAAAGTCAGATGAATCTGTAACTCAGGGCACTGCTCCCAGAAGAATCCGTTTGCAGATGAATCCAGTTGGTGATAGCAATGTGAGAGATTCAACCCCTGGGAAAGAAGATGAAGTGCAGTCAACTATTAATGAGGTAAGAATTATTGGTCAAGCCAATATAAGGATTCTAATTATACATAAATACTTTATGTTTTCATCAAATTTTAACTGAGCAATATTGTTTCATGCAGACCAGAGATTCCACACAGAAGATTCCTGATTCCGATGAGCATGATGCAGCGTGCCATCTTTCAAAGTTGGAAATGAACGGGAAAATCGCTGAAGACTCGCCAGCAGAAATGGTTGATAAGAGCAGGGAAACTGCTGAAGAAGCCCCAGGAAAGTTGAAGCTAAGGATGGGTAGGGATAGTTCATTACACAGCAACCATACGGGGCTGTCAGTGGCTTCGAAGGCGCTGCCTAAACATCATGGCCTGATTTCTACATTTGTTATTTCGGTCGGCATTCCTTTAGCGGTAACCCTGTTCATAGCTTTTAGTGGGATTTGGATAGCCTCAAGATCTTGACTTTGCAGGGAAGAGGCCATAGGTGATTAGGTGTTTCGTTCCACTCTGTGCTTACTTCATTTGGAACGGGGTTTAGGGTTGTAAATCGCATTCTCATATGTGCGTGCATATGTAACCTTAGATGAGAAAAATATTTGAGTGTGTGTATTAAGATTTCGTCTGTGTTTTCACTTCCAGACAACTCTGTTTTTCTGTGTAGAGTCTAGTTAGCTTTGACATATATTATGATTAGCGTATAATAAAGTGTAAAATTTGTAATTTAATTTGTATGATTATCTTCTGTTTTGCCCTTCTTTATTTTTCTGGTCAAATCAAATTCGAGCTTTGTCTAATGTGAAGAAAGCATTCAAAGCAGTAATCTAATTACAGTTGGATTAGCCTTAATCAAGGGGCTAATCAAGTAATCTATTGGCATTACACCATTGAAATGGTGGGGGCAAAAAACAGCTGGCTTATGAAACACCAGAATAGTAAAGCTGTATTGTTTAGGAAACAAACAGAGATTCCTAGAGAAGAACAAATCTGTCTACTTGACAGTATATAGCATATGCAGTGCACTACCTGGCAAAAGGACACGTAATAATTGTAAAATAAAGAAACGGATAGAGAGGATAAGGATTGAGAAAGCCGCAAACCACCAGCTTTCTTTCTGTGCTCTGCCTTTTCTTTATAAATGGAGTAAAAATCTAAATCCCGTGAGTCACCTGGTGGAGACGCACACGTGGCAGCCAACAAGCTGAGCACACTGGAAACTAGAAAGTCCGGGGCTGTGGGGGCGCCGTGGTAATGCTCACTCAGAAACCAAAACCAAGCCCACATCAGATCACATGACCCTCTGTCATAATTGCCACTACCCTCCACCGACTTCCACATGTCATGTATAAATTCTTAGTATAAGAGTCAATTGAGAGAAGACAAAGAAACAAAGAAACAGTCGTTCAAGAGAAATTTCTAGAGTCAAGCAAGAGTCTTTTGTGTTCAGGTTGGGTGTTAAAATTGTTGGGTTCTTTGAGAAATTAAGTGGGTGAGCAGATACAGAAGCTAGAGAGAGAAAAATGATACTGGTGGCGGGTGTGGCTGAGCTGATGGAGGAGTATACGTTTTTGTTGGCAAGGGTTTTGGAGCATTTGTTCCATTTTGCTCCTTTTCCCAGGAGGGTTCGGTTTCTCATTCTCCGAAGTCTTCCCTTTGTTTCTTCCTACCCTCCTCCTCCTCCTCCTCCTCTGATAGGAGCCCCTGCTGCTGCTTAATGTTTCAAGGATAGGGCTTTTTGTGTTTAGCATGTAAGGGTTCATTGGTTAATTTTTTTTCTCTGTGTTTTTTAGAATTCTGATGCGGTGAATGTTCTGTACAAATTTGGAATTTTTCTTCTCCTCCCTGAACAAAGTTGGTTGCTTTCGATTAGTTTGATGGATGTTATGGCCACCCTTTGACCTATATTCTTTAAAGTTCATAGCTTTTTATGAATATATGGATATGAATTTGATGAGATTGGATGACTCTTTTAGATTAAAGTTAGGGTTTTTTAATGTCTTCAATCTGTTTTGGGAAATTGCAGCTAACCCAGCTTAATCCTCGGACCTAATCTTAGATTATTAAGTTGATACAAAATTCTAAGACCATTTTTAAGGTCGGCCGCCAAGTTTTTAGGTATCCTTCCATAATCACCACCAACTGATCACGCTTCCCTTATTATTGCCATTGTCACTATTATTACTCACTTGCCGTTGTCATTATCACTATTATTATCACTTGCCATTGTCATTATCACCTGTCATTAAGGATATGAAGAACTTTTATTGGATGTGTAATGTTAAACTTTTTATCATTTAGGATAGGCTTAAATGTTGTGTTTTATCCCGTCGGTTCATTTAGTCCATGTATAGTCAATCTGAAAATGAAATTTATTTTTATTTGATGCCTTAAGATAATGGTTTTTGCTTTGTATATAGATGATGACTATTATCCATATCATTATTGTATTTTTATTTGAAGTGTGTTTGCGTCACCTCAACTCCTCCAGAAAGAAAAAGTAAGATGGATAGGGTCTAGGTAAAATTAACCACTTCAATTTTAATTTATATTTTTTTTCCGTTTTAACTCCACGGACAACATATGACCCGGTCGTACAAAGCCCAGGATGAAGCAACCTCCTTGGGCCTAGGACATCTAACCTAGCCAGCAGGAGCATAGTCAGGTTGCTTTCTTGCTGTCCAAGAGAGAAGGGCTAGCGCTTTTGTTGCTAATCCTTCTCTCGGAACCCTCATGATTCTACCTCGTACTTGAAGGAGATTGTTGCATTTGTGTGGATGTTTTTTGCCATAGGTATGTCATTTGGATGTTTGTTTGCATTAGGCGCGGTTAGATAATTGGTGGTGGTGTTGCCCTTACTCTGTCTCCTCTTGTAGACATTTTGCCGGTACTTTGGTAACTTAAGTAAATAAACTGTCATCATGTGTTGACGAAAAAAAGAAAAAACCAACATATTATTCACTGTATGCTTTGTATTGGGTTTTAAAAAGTTATTCGCTGGATGAATCTGATTCTGTTTTTACCAATAAATTACTAAATTGCACCAGAAAACCAGTGGAGTGATGGGCTTAAAAAATTTCCACATATGGGGATGGGGGCATGGAAAGAAAAGTATGTTGAAAGTTGAAACCACAAAAGCTACCATGTTTTATGTGGACAAGAAAACTGGGGTGGGCGCTGCAGAATATTCCAAATATGAAATGAGATTATCAATTTGTGAATGCATGGTGGGCAAGAGCTTATCAGAGGGGATGTAGTCCAACATGGCCTAGATTTATCTTCATGGACCATGACACAAGTAAAAATTATGATTTCCCAAGTATTTGGAAGTACATATGGCCCAGCTAATAAGGAACTTCTCACTACAAAGGTTGCCTGAAAGGAAATATGGCCCCAGTTAGTACAAACGTTGCATCCCAAGACATGAGTAATTTGTGTAAATTCCCCACTAGATTTGTGTGCAATTCAAGTGAAAGTGACCACAAATTGTAATGCAAAATTGTGTTGCTTTCAGGTGAAAATGGCAAACCAAGAGATAAATGATGCATTGCATTTTGGCAAGAGATTGTAATTCAGAAAGTTAGGATCAATTTGTTAGTAGACATCATCACACCCTCATCTTATCATATATGCATAGATTGAATGGTTATGTGCTCAAAGACTTTATTGCATTATATATGCCTACTATTACTATATTTCTTTCCGAACACTACTGGGCTCTTATAAGAAGCGATTCCTCCTTAATTGTAAATTACAAACCGACACACATGCAAAAGTAACTCATTAAAATCACAAAAAGAAAAGTTTCTAAACATATATCAAATGGTGATTTGTCTGCAAGGAGAAATGGTATTTTTTTCCTCTCTTTCCCCTGCTGATTAGGTGATTGCCAAATTTAAGTTACAAATTTTGGTCAGGCATGCCTACTATATTTCTTTTTTAGCACTACTTGATTCCTTACTCGTCATTCCTTCTTTAACTGCAAATCACATATTGACATATGTGGAAAAGTAAGTCGTTAAAATCACAAAAAGGAAAGTTTGTAAACACATGTCAAACTATAATTTGTCCCTAAAGCAGGATTATTAAAACAAATTTCCTTTCTTTCCCCTGCTGATTAGGTGCTTGCCAAATTTAAGTTACAAATTTTGGTCAGGCATGCCTACTATATTTCTTTTTTAGCACTACTTGTTTCCTTACTCGTCATTCCTTCTTTAACTGCAAATCACATATTGACATATATGGAAAAGTAAGTCGTTAAAATCACAAAAGGAAAGTTTGTAAACACATGTCAAACTGTAATTTGTCCTTAAAGCAGGATTATTAAAACAAATTTCCTTTCTTTCCCCTGCTGATTAGGTGCTTGCGAAATTTAAGTTACAAATTTTGGTGGGCTATGGAGAGAAGAGCAAATTTTGTTCAAACATGCTCTCCAGGTGGACAGAGAGATTTTAAACTCTGGAATTTTCTGATGTGGGGTAGAGAAAATTCTGGTTGAAACTGTAAGTGTCCAATCTGGTTCTTGAGTTTCATTCCAATTTTATCAAATTTTTATGTCCAAAACCAGGCATCTATGTGAGCACCTTGTATAGAAAAACAATCAAATGGAACTACATCACCAAATTCTCTGCTTAAGAATAACATGACCTCATCTCATCTGATGCCTATATAAATTATAATTGGGATTAGAACCTCTAGATTTTACGTGTGCATTGCGCGCTGCCTTTCCAACTGTCCTAAGAACACTTGAGGAAGTGTTTGATTTCAAGAACATAGAGGTGTTATCAATTATTATATTCAAATGTGAGATTCTTTCTTTTGTACTGTTTGTCTCCTAAAGTTTGCCATGGCATGAGAAATTCTTTTGTCCGAAATTTAAACAATAATGCAGAGAGATGTTATCAGAATGCAGGTAAAGGCAGAACAATTGAAGCATCAAACCTTCCCATTAAACCAGAATTATTCGGTAAACCAGAATTCCACACTAATAACGAGTAAAAACGGCATATGCGTGTGATTACGTGTAGAGCATTATTTTCTGAGAATTTATGGATAATATAAATTAAAACATATGAACACGAAGCTGCTAGAAAAGTGCACCAACTAGCCATGTCCATTATTTGTTTATCTGTAAACAAATCACATGTATAGGACCCAAAAAACATGTTTTCTGGTATGTGTGGTCTGGTGTGGCCGCCGCCCGCCGGAAGGAGAAAAATGCCATCATTTTGTTCACTTTGGTGGTTCTGAATGCTAGTGTACCAGTTTATTTATGGCATAGTTTATTGGTAGAGCTTCCAAGTGATATTTTTAACTAAAAAGTATAGAACCCAAAAGATTCCATTTCTGATAGGCTTGTGGAAATGAAGAACACCTACATAGGCGAGAAGGCACAGATAATAGAAATGTGGGAATATAACTTTGTAGATAGATGGTGCATGCTGTGTGTAAGTGATTTTCAAAGCTGGTTTAAAAAAGACAGAGAGAAGATATTTAGAATATATGTTCCCTTTGCATCAAAACCCATCTTTCCTATTCCTTATAAGCTCGTCCATATCCCTATAAGAAAGAGCTGATATTCTCTTCTCTGAGTCAGCTGCCATGTTAGCTTGACCCACATTTCAAGCATTAATGTGAGGATTTAGATACCATTCCGTGTCTAAAAGTTCTAATTATTTGAGAGTCTCTTATCCCCAAAATAAAACCACAGAATTTAACCCCAAGAAACTGCTAACTTGGAATTGTTTTAAGACACCTTTGGAATATATTGCAAAGAGATCAAACACAAGGAAAGGGATGCCAAGGCTACAAAGGAATATCTTCTAGGGCTGGGTTTGTCTTTAAGTTTCCCATCTTTCTTTCTTTGTATATATAACACACAACTAGCTCTTGGTCATGGCAACGGTACTAAAGAGAACATTTGGCTCTATCATATCATCTATTGCATACTTCTCTTACTTTGACTACCCGGATCACCATTACAAAAGCAACAGCCACTTCAAGAAAATCAAACACAACATGCCAAAGGGTCGGCCCCTTTCGTTGCAGGTTTGCTTTCGTCTCAATTATTTTGTTTTCGATCTTCTGAGGTATCTCATCACCATGCATGGCTTCTCTTCCTCCCTCTATCTCTCTTTATCTATCTGGCTTCTCTTCTTCATATGTTTGATGCTATTCATCCTGCTAGTCAGATATATCCTATACACTCACACATAGTTGCAGCATGAAGCCTCTGCTTGTCTTATTCATGCTGCAAAGGAAATAGATGCAAAACAAAGAAGAACATATATATTTGTCATCAAAAGTAGAGAGAAACATTTTAGAAAACTTGTCCGAAGCGGTACATTGAGTTATAAATATCATGGTTTTAGTGAACCATTGGTATGGTGGAGAAACTCCAACCATGTCAGAATCTTTGTTTGTCATGTATTGATCTCTTAAACCACGTTTCTTGTACCCAACATGGCTTTTCTTAATCCCTTTGGCTTCCAATTAATAACTGCCAAAAGTATAAAGCTGTTTGAAACAACAAAAGGAACGAAGGAATCAAAGAAAGGAAGTAAAGTTCAGCAAATAAACAAGTAAAAACTAAAACATACTTTTTGCAAGAACAGAACAGATTCTCAAACCGTGTTTGCTTTACAGACTGTGGAGCTCAAAGTCAGGATGTGCTGCACTGGCTGTGAGAGGGTTGTCAAAAATGCCATTTTCAAGCTCAGAGGTAAATAATCAATTGTGACATATAGCTAATTAATTAATATGTAAAACTCTGCAGTAAAAACAATTTTCTATGTACTCAGGGATCGATTCGGTGGACGTAGACCTACCAATGGAAAAGGTGACGGTAAGCGGGTACGTTGATCGCAACAAAGTTCTCAAGGCAGTGAGGAGGGCTGGAAAGAGGGCAGAGTTCTGGCCCTACCCCAACCCTCCTTTGTACTTCACATCCTCCGGTGACTATTTCAAGGACACAATCAATGAGTTCAAAGAGAGCTACAACTACTATAGGCATGGCTACAATGTTGGGGACAAACATGGAACAATTCCAGTGACTCAAAGGGGGGATGACAAAGTTAGCAACATGTTCAATGATGATAATGTCAATGCTTGTTGCCTCATGTGACTCTGCTATGTGCTATGTTATGTAACATGTTCCATGATCAGGATCTTATGTACTTTTTATATTTTGTTGTTAACTAGTACATGTACATGTACATATGGTTTGGAAAAAATAAGAAGAAGAAATCTGTCCATCTCCATATCCTGTGTTGTACAGTATGCAGGCTTGGTTTTATGCTGAATATTTCTAGGAGTGGGGAATATATTCAATGGAGCAATTTCAAGGACTTAAATGTAAATTGCTGTTTTTTTCTTTCTTTCTATTTTACCCAACTTCATTTTTTTTTTAATATTTGGAATTGTTGTTTTGATCATGACAGCAACTGAGCTGAGATGGTGATTAATTTGGCATTTTCACATGACAGTTGAAAGGGATTTCAGTGCAGCCTTGTCATCGAGGGTGTGGGTCACTCAAAGCATCTTGATGCCCTTTCTGATTGGTTGCCCAGAAAAGATCTTCAATCCTATCAGGACTTGACCAAAACTCCTTTTTTTTTTTTTGGCTTTGCAACTCCTGTATAAAATTTTGGGAAATTGAATTGCACCACCAAGAGGGTTTCTCATCTAATTCACTCTCTCTCTCTCTTCAGCTCATCAGCCTGAAAGAGGTTTTGAACATGAAATTAATAAATATTCTGCCATTGTACTTTGGTGGGAAACATCTCCATGGGAAAAGCAGGCCTAAACTTGCTAGGAATTTTCCTCTGAACTTGGTTATGAAAGTAACAGCCAACAAGGACTTTTTGTTTCTTCGTTCCTAAGGCAACAGGTCAAATCAAATTTGTCTTTAACTGTTTGGTCTGCAAGGAATATTAGAGATGTCCACTTTTTCACGGTATTGGCTCCATGGTCGACAAATATATAAACAACTAGGTCATGTTTTCTATTGGCAAAATATTCAAAGTCAGTTGACTCATTGTCACCTGCTTAACCATTCCCCAGTAAAAACTCTACAGTTACTTGAGTTTTTCTTTAGAATATCCCATATGAACAAAGAATTCCTAAACTTTGGAGATAATATAAAACTTTATAAATGTTGAGAGTATTTGTCCCACATTGAAATGTTAAGGA